ATCCTCAAGCTGCAATCGCCTTAGAGCTTCAGCTTTTAGTTTATGAGTGGCATCCTTTAACGAACTAACTTTTGAACTGTCACCTCTCTCTTCGTCTTGCGAACCTTGGTTGGAATCGCTGGCTTCGGCTTTGTCCGACATTTTGAAATCGACTGCACTAACCTCATCACCATGGTAACACGTTTATTTAGATTTTCACAAAGATATGACTTCCTTACAACTCTGTAAGTGAGTTTATTTGTGCTTGATCTCCAAAAAACACTTTCTCGAAGACTTTTTATTTCTTATACTTTAAACTATATGGTGTTAGCTGTGAAGTTGCTTAAATTTAAGTATCTTAACTTGCTTTGTGTGGCGCGGATCGCATTCAAAAAAGAAAGAAACATGTCATCGCGAAAAAAAACCCTTTCTCGTGAGACGTTGAATACAACCAAAACATGGCATGAATGGTGAATTTTTTTCTGTTGACAATACTTTTGGATGCAACGTCAACATAAAATTTAAGCATATCTCACGCTCTTACCTATGACTGAAAATCTGCACTAAGAACAGCAAGGGTTTCGAAAATTGTATGTAAGACAAGCGTTAATATATTCCACCAGATAATCCGATTTGGAGGTGCCCATGGGTTCCTGGATTTGATATGACACAAATGAATTAATAACAATACAACACAATTAAGCTTCTTTGCGGCTCAGTTACACACGGGTTTATAAAGATGGCCGGCCAACTGTTTTGTAATCTCTCACCTTTTAATTTTCCACACGATCAGACAATGAGTCTTTTCTCTCTACGGTTCTCGACTCGGTAGTAAATTGTAGGATATATAGTAGTTGTTTTTTCTTTTAGGTAGCGAAACTAAATAAGACAGCTCTGATTTACTGTAAGTCCAGAGCAAAAGTATCGAATCAAAGTATGATCTTCACCGACTACCGCAGAGACGTCGCCAGTTTTTTTTATCTACATACAGGATGCAGCTGCTATTGAAAACTGCACGCGCGTGACAATTGAGCATTTATGTCGTAATAAGAAGATACTTTACTCGTCAAGACAGTATGACTCTTATTATTATTTAAACAAATAAAACTTAGAAAAAATCTTTCTTCTGCTAGTTCTCAATTCAAAGGGATGCTTTTGTAAACATTTTCTCTTCTCGATTTAAGTCTTTAGGCCAGTTTGTGACAAAAAAATGAAACATTAATGTAGATTAACTTGCAGTTTCTCTCAACCATCAATGAAGTCACGCAAAATGACTCCTTTTCAACAAAAACCCTTTTTTTCGATTTTTCAAGGGGACTTTGGTTACAATCCTAGCCCGATAGTAAGGCTAATTATGAAACTGAGTGACATAAGGAAATTGAAATTAAAATGCCAAAGAAATCTAGATGCACTCAGTACCTTTTGTTTCACTTTCGCACATTGTTCCACTTTCAGTGGCTGATCTCTCAATCTTTTTCACTCGGATCTCATCACCGGCTCAGGAAAAGTACTGGTAATAGTAACACCCAGGGTAACACCCTGGTAACACCAATTTCTACCAAGAAATATTGCATAGTCAGAGCACTGAAGCGATAATCGGAAGGTGCTGTTGTTTTTATTGTTTTTGTTGTTTGAAAGATACTTTTTATTTTTCTCTCGATTACAATAAGTTTTATAATTACTGAGATCCTCTTTACCCTACTGAATGAAATTTTAACTGCACTAACTTGTATTAAACCCGCGTTCTTTACGAAGAAGAAGAAGGAAAGAATCTGAAAAACTACTTTAATAGAAAATGGCCGTTTTTATACTAGAGTGACGCATTATCTAAGGTCGTTTTTATACTAAGGACGCATCATCCGTCTGGACGAACTTGGGCAAACATTTGTTGTTGTTCGTCTGGTTATGCGTCTCAAGTATAAAGATGGGTACAAGACGCATTATGCGTCTGGACAAACTTTCCTTCGAAATACGTCTTGCACGACGCACTTCGAAAGGTATTTCGTCTGGACGCATAGCCGGTGCCCGTCTTTTTACTAGAGACGCATAACCAGACGAACTGTAAAATGTTTGCCCAAGTTCGAAAACGAGGGAGAAACCTTTTCCCTCAATATTCTCTCCTCGTTTTTCTTTTCCCCTCGTCAATTTTTTAGCCCGTGCTCTGAACCTCTGGAGTGAGGCTGAAGTAAATTGAGCATTAAAAATATCTCGAGTACCGTATTTATTCGATTACCGTATTTTCTCGATTTAACGCCGGGCCCCGAATAAACGCCGGGTCTCGGAGGGGAAGTTGTAGATACACCCCCAGACGTTTATTTATGGTATAATAAACTAACGGTATTGAGGCAAGATATACGGCTTTCAAGAAAAAGGCATAAAAACTTTTCTATAGTAACAGTAAGTTCGAATAAACTGCAAATTCAAACAAACGCCGCTCCACGAGGTCAAGTTTGATTTAAACGCCGGGGTCGTTAAATTGAAAAAATACGGTAACCGCCCTGGGCGCTTATTAAATTTTTGGACATTGAGAAACCCGCGAATAAGCTCCCTGGGTGCTTATTAAATTTTCACCATTTTCAGCAAGTGAAGTATGTTGATTTTGTAACAAAACAATAAATGCTAATAACGAAACGCGAAGGAGTAACAAAGCAAGGTTTCTGTAAAAAATCTGAAGAAAACTTCGTCCTCAGGGTAGTCCGGCTTATTAGAATTTATTCACTCAAGTGGGTGGGGTGGAGGTGAGCGCTTTTTTGAGTTTGATTGGGAGGAGGAGGGGGTGGGCGCTTATTCGAGGCTGGGCGCTTATCAACTTTTTCTGCCTTTAGGATTGGCGCTTATTCGAGGTGGGTGCTAATTCGAGGTTGGGTGCTTATTCGAATAAATACGGTATGCCGCATCCTTTATAGAACTCACAGGCTGCTCAAACGCTGTGGGAGTTCGTTGGACTTTGAATTTATAAGAGAATGTAAAAAACTAAACAAAATACATCCTAAATTCCACTTTTTGACAAAAATAGAAATAAAAATGACTTATCTCGTGTTTTCGTTTTGGTTTTTACTGTCTCTTTGCCTCTAGAGCCATTCGGAGACCGTTTTATCGACGTTTAAGATTTTTGAGTTGTACTAACAGTGGGAAAGGTTTTCTTACTGTTAGTACAACTCAAAATCTTGACAAAAAATCAAAACAAAAACACAAGATGAGTCATTTTTATTTCTAAATTTGTCCAAATATGGAATTTAGGACGTATTTTGTTTATTTTCTTGCATTCTCTTAGAAATTCAAAGTCCAACGAAATCCCACAGAGTTTGGGCCGCCTGTAGGGCACTTTACGTAGAATACTGAAATTATTCTACAAAAGTCACCGTTTTGTTAGTACTGAAACTCAGATACTTAGGTTATATTAGCAGTCGCTGTGACTAGGCAGTGTGTTCGCAGGTTATTGATGAGAATCAGGACTGAGATCTTAATGAATATCAAAACAGACTAATTTTCGGTGCCACGTACTGTCTACACGAGGGGAACGGAATGGAATAGTTTTCATTTTGCATAACACAGTAAAATTAACGCATAGTTACTTGGCTAGCCTAGTCATGCATATAAAATTCCTTCTAAAAATATAAACCCAAGAATATCGGTAGTATATATGAGTTGAGTGCATTAAAACGAGCGAAAATACGAGTCCCCGGCTCACCTTTCCTATGACTTACTGCATAGATTGTGCAAGGGCAAAAAAGTGCAAAAATTAATTAGATTATTAACATCAAACGTCCTATATCGCGGAGCGTCATTCAATTTATTTTCCAGTGGATTAAAGAGACTGATTCAAGAAACCATTTCTCCTGGCGGGGGAGACGTACGATGAGAGTTCTGAAGACCATTCTCGAAGACTATTGCTCGAGTCGCCCATTTTGTCACTTTTTTCCCGCCTTTCAAACGGCTCGCCTGCTTGGCGACTTGTTGGCTCTCCTTGACTCTTCAGTTAGAAGAATACAAGATTTCTTGTTGCAGGAGAAGCTAAATATCATGGATGAATATTTCATTCATTATATGAGTATCTTACAACTTATGACTCAATCAATACCACACCGTGTCTCCATTAAATCGTCAATGTTGCCTGAAGAGTTATGTTGCACGAATATATTCGTGCTTTGATAACTGTAGACAAATATTCACCCGAATTAAGTGTATGTGAGTGTTGTTTAATGGTAAAAGAATGTTTTAGTGATATGACGTTTAGTAGAAAAATATTAGTGAATTTTAGGGTTGCAGTCGACGTCAACGAGCAAAGTACATTTTGAAACATGTTGGCGCTTCTAACTCGTCTGACTCGATCTAATTGCAAATTAAATGGTGACCTTCAGATTTGACTACAGGTACACGAAATCGAGTAAGCGACGACTTTGAAATTTGGAGCTTCACGTATATCCCCTCAACTATAACTTTGTAAAACTATTTCTTGTAGCTGTCCAACACATGAAGAAATGGTCAGGGATAAGAGTGCCGGTGTGATGGGTAATTTTAATTTAAGAGGCACGTGAATTTGGTTCCGTGAACACTTGTATTCCACCCGGCAATCTCGTACTCGAAGTCCAATCTAAAAACCGCTTATGAGCATTGTCGTATGGTGTTGGCGCATGAACGAAATCAAAATAGTATTCTTCCCGAAAACGAAAAACCAAACTGGAGAGGCATCATTCCGCGAGTCTTCCTCTTTTGACTGACTCATTTTTCTGTCATTTAATTCTCTTTGTTCACGTTTTTGATAAAAGTCCGTATTCATCAGCCCATAAATTCCAGCTTATCACGTGTAAAGCATAATAAAGAAATGAAATACAACAATACTTATAGGCCTCGTCAGACATTTGTCACCGTAAGCCTGTCACGGGCCAACATTTTCAAAGAGCGATATTTGTACAATAAAAGACACTACCCTCCCCACCCACAAAATATCCGTTGCGGGGCTTTATAAACAGGTCACGTGGTTTGACCGGTGTTTCGCGTGGTGCGGCAAGGCTTGCAAGATGGCGTACGCTAAGCAGGGAACAGAAGGAAAGACTAGACTTGAACGTATGCAGGACACTGTCCGCGATTTTGGCAAGTTTCTCTACAGTCGAAATGAAGACAATGAGGTCTTAATTATGGGCCGAAATGGCGCGAGCTGGGGTAAGTCTTGTTAGATCTTCGGAGGTTAATAGTTCTTGTACAGTTGAAATAACTTAACTAACTAGATATTGATGAATGTTAGTCGTTTGTGGAGCCTTTCCTTTAAGGAAAAGTAAAGTGAACTTGAGCCTTTACGTTTAAAATATTTATCATAACTTTTTCTATTGAATTTCAGCAAAGCTCGCCGTTTTCTTCTTGATATTTTACGGCTGTTTGGCTGGGTTTTTTGCGGCCATGTTGTCGGTATTCATGACCACGGTTCCAGATAGGGCGGATGGGCCAAAGTTTACTAAATTCATAGCAGGAAAACAAGGTATCCCTATCTTTTTCTACTTGTTTTATAGTTATTTTAACTCTGTATTTAGTGGAATTCTTATTTCCTCTTGGAAGCTCAAATCAGGAAAACTAATCAAGCTTACCGTAAATGAGTAAGCCGGCCGCCTGCATGCACAACCACCAAATCCGGTTGTACTCTTATTTGCAATGCAAGCGATTCTCATATTGAGTCGTAACTCATGTGTTATATGCTAATATTTCTATTTTGGATTGGAGATTACGGCGAAATCCTTATTTTCCTGGACTACATTCCTCTTTTCAGCGAGTAAAACCTCGAAGATTTGATTTTACTTGTGTAGTCCCATTGGGAACGAGCAGTGATCCGTGGCCAGCTGAAACGGTCGATATTTGCTCTGATGAAATATATTTGGTGTTTTAATAGATCTTTATACCTGACACGATTAAAACAGTCGCTAAATATTTTTTTGTTTGCTTAATACTTGTTTTCGGCCAATTTATTCGTTTGAAGATTGGAACAGACGAGGGGTGGGTCTGCTAAGCTTGATGCCCGGTAAGAATTGAAATTGACAAGGCGTTTGTTACATAATCCAGCGCCTTATCGGATTGTTTGCTACACATCGAGTTACTTCTGCAGTTTTGAAAAGCGTTGCCGCTTTTGTGAACGGGGAGAATGTTCTCAGTTTGCATAGGTTATACGCAATACTGTCCCCCATTAAGAGATATATGACGCGGCAAGTTTGTTACGGGCTTCGATGTTGTTTGAAGTGTGTGGTTTTAGTAATATTGATTATGCGCATGATTTGTTATTGTGGCGTCATCTGTTGAAAACTAAATTGTCATTCCAATATATAAAACTGTCATGGTATTTGATTTATAATCTACTCTATTCCAGTATGTTTCTACATAAATCTAAAACTTCTATCAGTATTCAAACTGTATTAAAACAAGTGTTTAGAACACACTCTCACTTGAATTTTCTCATTTCTGCTTATGGTACACTGTAGCTTTGCCATAACTAGCAAAGGAGAGCTAGTTGAAGGAACCATTGAACTGGAAAGGCTTGCAAAGAAACTGGGATTTCTATTGGACTGTGCACAATAGTTCGTTAGAGGCTCATAAACTTTGACAGAATATCCTACCACAAATGTTGCTATTACTTTATTGTAGGAAATTAACGCTAGTGTTAATTAAGGTTTTGAAATTAAAGCGAATTAAAGGGAAAAATACTTCCCAATAAAAAAAAATTAATGCAAAAGGCGGGGTAAAATTTAAAAAGAAAGAAAATCAATGCACCGTACAAAAAGAAACAAAAGTTGTTTAAACAACAGGAACAAATTTATTTAAACTTGACCGAAATCCAGGAAGCAGAAATTGAGAGTTATTCTCCCTATGGTGACCATGAAGATGAAATGTTGTTACAGTAATCAATTTGTGAAAGATTGATCTGAAATAAAGTGCGCGAAACTAAAGCTATTCAGTTTCCTAGGCATCAAGAAAGTCTGGAGAATGTCAAGAATTTGGGGCCAAAATGACGTAAAGCGTTAATTTCCTATAATAAGGTTGTCCAAAGATAGTAAAAAAATGACCTATGAACATTGCACTGCGCTTGAGCTCCACCCCTCCATCCCACTGCTTTGCTTGAGTTCACCGTACCACCATCACCCCCAGGTATCTCTAACTTTTCATTCCTTTAAAACCACTGTATCATTTCGTTTGAAATTTTCCATATTGCCCATGTTACTAACAACAAAATTATGATTGACGTATCATGTAGTCAGCCTTGTCTTCTTAAGTTTCTCTATACGTCAGTTCATCAATACTAAGTTAGTTTTGTCTTCTTATGTTTCTCCTTCATTTATTTGCACAATGCTAGTCTTGTTTCTTTTGTGTTTATCTTTACATTAGTTAATTTGTAGAGTGTCAGGATTTTCCTGTTTCTTGCATCATCAGTTTCTCGGTTGTAATGTGAGATCAGGCGCAACAGTAGTAGCTTCCATAAGTTGTCTGTTACATGGTTGAGCTAAAATTTTCATGCCTTGTTAGAATATCTTTCTTATTTCTCCATATTGGCATGATCTTCTGAAAAATAGTACAGTCTTTTGACTGGTTAGTCTCATATTTCTTTGTAGGTTTTTGCTTAATCCAGCTTGTTTGTACATGCATGTTCAGGGGTTTCGATAAAAATTGAAGTAGCCAGCAGATTTGAATAGAGTAACCGACTGTATCAACAGTCTATGTTTTCAAGGGGTGTCTGGGGCATGCTCCCTCAGAAAATTTTAACATTGCAAAACCCTAATAAGCGATTTCCAGCATTTAGGGGACTAAACTGAGTGTAAAAGACAAGTTTTCCATTCAAGAAGATTTGGGTTTTAGTCAAATTTCGATTTATTAGCCACACGATTAACTCCTGCAAGCAATGAACAAATGATCATTATACTAAGTTACATACATTTCTGCGTGAACAAATTCTATTGTTCTCCATGACATTATTCAAACTAGCTGCTGCTTCTTCTTCGGAGAAAAATATAGCCGACTTCTCTGAGCAATTTAGCCGACGCGTTTCGTCGGTGCTTATTGAAACCCCTGCATGTTGTTAGCCTTGCCTTATCTATGCTTTCCTTAAACCAAAAATAAGTTTGTTCAAGTGGTGGTTGAGTTGCTGGACAACATAGAGCACTACTTCATTTTACTGCCGTGAAACACACTACTATTATGATTAGAAGTGTAAGTCGAGGAGCTGTCTGTTTTACACGACTCGCCATTTGGTGAACAGATCTTAAAATGAAGTCGGCAGGGATCACTTTTTAGTCGCATTGGTGGCATGTGCAAGTCAGGTTTGTTAATGCTCTGATTTATTTACAGGTCTTATTCCCACATCACTTGAAGTGAAGTCTGGACAAAAAGATGATCATGTGAAGGCCATAAATGACTTCTTGAAACGTAAGTTTCTGTACACGTGTGTTTGACTTTATTTTAGAGGTGCCTTTGAATCACTGAGTTTTTCATTTTGTATTTGGTTGGAATCAAGATGGTTGTTGCTTATGGTTGTTAGTACATTGCAATATATATGAATGGGTTGGATTGAAGTGTGTTGTAGCGGAGCTCTCGCGCATGCTTGCACAGCAGAGCACCATGGGTAAGAAAATGTGGTTATCTATGCATCCAAGAAATTTGGGTTCTGAGAAAATCATCAAGGCATACATCCACCCCTTCATGTAACCCGAGGGGGGGGGGGGAATTTTGCATTTCAAGCACCCACGCATTTTGGCGGTAAATTACATGGCCACCCTGACCTTTAGAGAGAACAAAACAGCCGAGTCTTTCTTTCAACTAATTTTTAATGTCTATGATGTGGTTCAATTTTATCCTTGGTTTAAATTTTATGTTCTTTTGTTTATGGGCATGGTAATGTATGGTAATGAGTTTGAAACAAAAGAAAATAAATTTAAACCAAGGATAAAATTGAACCACAACATCTACATTGATGTCATGTGGCTAACAGAAAAAGACGTACAGCGAGAGATAAAAAACAAAGGAGACCAATTTTGTTCGAGCAAAAACATGAAAATTTGAAAGGGGCAGTGAGAAAATGAGAAAAAGCTAGCTGCCACCAAGGTGAAAACTAGCAGGAGTGGAAATATAAGTGAACAGGAACACATACGACAATTCCTCCATAATACATGTAAATAAGAAGTTTCTGGAAGTTTCACATTGTAGTCATGCAAAACAACGGCAAGGAAATGTACAAAAAAGTGTGGTAAAGTTGTTTTTTTTTTCACAAACTAGAACATTTTTTGTTGCTGTTCTTGTCGCCATCACCATTCAGCATTACATGATTATATATTTTGTTATATTATTTTATATTATTTTAACGAGAGCTTTGCTTTTTGCCCTGGCTAAATCTATATATTACACTGGCAATAAAGTTGTGGTGCAGACACCACAAAAAAAACTAGTAATTAATTAAATTATTGAAAATTAAGAGGTGGTTGCTAACTCTTTACAACAACTTTCCTAATTATTCATTTTTTAGCATACAAGTCTGCCGTGGGTAATGACAGCTACAATCAAAACTGTACAGAGGAGAATCGTGAGAAGGGTTCCAAACCATGTGCCATGGATCTGACCACTCTTGGAGAGTGCTACAGCAATGAAACAGACTTTGAATATGGCTATGATGAAGGAAGACCATGCATCTTTTTTAAAATGAATAGGGTGAGTTTATCTTTTAATTTGATTCAGGGCTTCTGAAAAAGTGCCTGTACCAGAAGACTACTGGCTCTTAAACCTGACTGATCTCTGCTCCGTACATTTTCTTAGTTAAGAAAATTTGATAAAAGATCAAATCATTTCCCCATTAGTTAAGAGAATTTAAACAAAAGATTAAAGCATTTCCCCTTTCTTGATCATTTACTAATTCTTATAACTTTTTCTGCTAATGATGTATTGATGTTGTTAGGAGTAAAATGAGGTTGTCACCCTAGGGACTTATAAAGTTAAAAACAATATATGTATAATGTATATGTCAACTTGAACCTCTGTGTGCTATCACCTATTGTAAGCAACCTCTTATCCATCACCACCACTACCATCGTCATCATCATCAACTGGGCATGCTGGTTGCTCAGATTGCCAAGAGTAGCGCATTTTGTCCATCTCAATCATCTTAAATAGTCATCTGCCAATGTATCTAGCACCAAAGTACTTATGGAGGACACTGTTTTTATGTCTCATACTACCAAGGGGACTGCCATTTTTCATGATCATCCAAACAAGCGGTGTCTAGCTGTTTTACAGGGCGAAGGCAGTAGTCATTTTATTTTTTGGTTATTATTTCAAAGACCCTGAGTATCGGGGATCAAACCTGTGACTTAACATTCTGCTGTCAAGGGCTCTTCTTACTGAACTTTTCTATTAAACCCCCCTCTCTAATAAATGCCCCCCCCCCCTCCCCGTAAAAATTGCTCCAAAGTACTAGGAAATTGCAAAATAGAGTCAGATAAAGAGACACAAGAGACAAAGAAACTGAAAGAAGATTGCAAGCATAAATGCGTTGTAACCACATCATCCAATGCCTGGACGAATGAAGAACTAACTCTACAGTAGGTGAAAAGCGTTCTTGGAACATTTTCCTTTAACAGGCGCTTACTGTTGTGGGACTCTTATTAGTGTCATATGATGAAGAGTGTCAAGGAAGCACTTAAGGAAATCAGTGTTCACCAAGTTATAGTTCCCAGTGGTTGTACAAAATATTCAAAAGCACCAGATGTAAGTTGGAACAAACTGTTCAAGGATGGCTAGTGGTGTACAAGAATATACAGAAGTTAGAAACAGGCGTTGCGACTGCCATCAAGAAAGATGATTGTGGAATGGGTGTTGACAGCCTGGTCATGGCTCTCTACAGATGTGGTTGCTAAATCGTTCAAGTCCTGTGCATTGAATCTCGCAGTTGATGGCTTTGAAGATTCAGAGACTCATTGCCTCAAGAAAGGTCAACCCTGTGAAGTAGGAGCAGAGCAGTTAGAGGCACAACTCTCCATTCTGGATGAACCAAATCTCCCAAACCCTTTCCAAGTCATAACCGACTCAGACATCGAAGAAGTTAATGATGAAAACAAAATTACTCTGGATGAGGACTCTGATGTTGACGTTGAGAGCTAAAAGATGTGTTTTTTCCTGTCAAATGCCACCCTTCCCCATCCCTTCTCAAAATTGTCTAACAACTTTTTGAGAGCTTAGGGACTTCAGTGTTTGAATAGAATATGAAAGCAAGTTGCACTCATTAAAGCACCCTCTTGATTGTAGCAAAGGAGAAAAATTAAATTAGAAACCTTGGAGTGCAAAAGCCGTCAGCCCGCAGTTGAGATTCTGTTAACACAAAAACGTGTTTGGCCTAAAGCATACTGTATACAGTTTTGCTGAGTTTGTTAAAATAAGTTACGAGAATAAATGCCTCTCAAATAAACACCTATCTATTGAATGCCCCCTTTTGGACCCCCAAAATTTTATAAATGCTCGGGCGTTTATTAGATCATTAATTTAAGGTTTTCAAGATACCTAATTCATTCATTTAAACCAGGTAGCCACATCACAACACTTGGTCTGTGCTTACAGCCTTCTCTCCTTTTTCCTCACCACTAGAGATGTTTTGCAGGAGAGATGTCTGCGATCTGGCCCCTAAAATTCCATACTGATGAGTTGAATCAATGTTTATTTTGTAGTTAATTTTTATCTCTGGTAATTTTTATTTTTCTTTTGTTTCAACTTCATTAGCTTACATTACTATACCCAAAAACAAAAGAAAAACTAAAATTACGTGAGATGAAAAATTAACTACATGTGAGTTCTTCTGCAAACAAACGGCAACAAAACTCAAATGCTTCTGGTAATTTATATTCCACAAATTATTACTGTTTTTTTAGTTGATCCACGGCATTTACATTTGATCTTTGTGACCTTTTGTCTGTCAATCTTAAACAATAGCTTAAAAAAAGAAAAACAGCAATAACTACCCGAACCAATCGGCACTCCTTGACCAGTTTCCAGACGAATCTACATCATCAGTATCGAATCACCAAGGTCTCTCCTGCAAATCATCCTGCGGCAATGAGCAAGGAGAGATTGCTGTATTTGCAGGCTGCACAACACTGGCATTGCCATTTTTCAGTCTTTTTAACCACCTGAAATGACATGCAGTCTGATCTCCCACCCTGTTGCAAGTTGGACACTGATAGTGCATAGCCCTGTTTAGACGACATGTTTTTTCTTGTATTATTCATCCTTTTCTTGTTTTTTGTTATTGTGAGAATGGTTCTTCTTCAGACAGTCACATCAGTGACTTGAATGTTTTTTCTTTTCTGATTCATCTGTGTCACTTTCTCGTACATTCACTGAACTGGAAAATTCATCAATGTGTTGTGTTGTTTCCGGATATAAAATACTTATTAAAAATTTTTCTTCCCTCTAGGTGTATGGCTGGGTCCCTGAACCTAATGAGGGGTTGGATTATGTTAAACTGGCATGCAAATTTGAAGATGGAGGCCAAGAAGTAAGAATAAATACAATAAAATTGCGTAGCCATCTATATTACTGTTGTAGGAAAATAAATTCTTTACGGTCAATGGGGATTTGTACATGTCATTTCTTGCTCTAAGAAGTCATCCATTTAACACTTTAAAACATGCAAAATACTATTCTTAACATTGTTCACCATAGTACATTTGTTATGGCACTCGTGCAGAGAACTTGTTTAAACAATGAGACACCTTTGTGTTTTTTTCTTTTGTGCCTTTTGGGGTGCACAAAAAGGTACAAGAGAAAAAACAGAAAAGGCTGCAAGATTGCATTTGGTAGCTTAACCATGTACGGCAAATTTGGCAGTTTATCTAACTTTGAATGTTTTTTGTTGCTTGATTCTCTCTTATCATGATTCCCGGCAAACTAAAACCTTACAGAAAATCAACCTACAATGCATTGGAAACCCTTTCAAGTACCCCATGTACATGTATATATCCATGAAATATATGCCCTGAAATGACTAGTGCCCAGAACTTTGCAGGGTTACCAAGTAGGCCTTGTAGTTGTTATTGTGACCTTTTGTCAAAACTGTTGTAATTCGCCACTTACACATCTCCTTCTATGCACCTTATTTGCCCCCCAAAATTTTGCAGAAGCATTGTTTTCAATTTTTCTTGGGACGGCTGTAATACCCACGAGCAAAGAAAAACAAAGGCTGTGCAAAAATTTTGGGAAGCAAATAAGGTGCATTATGGAAGATGTGCAAGTGGTGAATATAACTAAAAATGCTGTTGTTTTTGGAAGGAAAATAGTCTGAAAGGGGCCTAAAAGTTTCTAAAAAATTGTGGTTATGAAGGGAAAACATGGATTTCTAGAAACTCCTGGTGCATCGCTCAGTATTGTGCAGAATTGTCCAGTCCAGCACCCTTGTACCCTGTCAGAAGCACTGATGATATTATTTTATTCATTTTAATATTTTGGACCAGTGAATTTTACCTCCAACAACCTAAATGCGCATGTTACTTGTCTCATGGACATAAAAAAAAATAGTTGTCTCCGACAAAGAAATTTGTTACAAGAATACACATACCTTCAATTTTAATATCCTCCCACTATGATTCCAAGTTTTCATAATTTTGGTTAGTAAAACATAGAACTATTTGTTAACATTTCTGGCCTTGGTTGTTCAAGCATTGGATAGCACTATCCATACTGGATAAATCACTATCCAGTTGTTCTTGTTGGCAATCTCAGGAGTTATAGATACATTTTTGGCTTTTATTTAACCCGGCTTGTTGTATTGGGTTGTATTATCAGGGGCGGATCCAGGTTTTTTTTTAGGAGGGGGTGCACTCGTCTCTTGCTCTACTTCAACACCAATAAACCACATAGCTTTTTTTTTTTTTGCACAATACCAGTTGTATTAGAAAACCGCAGGTCATCTCAGGGGGGGTGCGCACCCCCTGCACCCTCGCCCTAGATACGCCCCTGATTATAATGCAAATAATTGTATTTTGTCTTCAACAGGGTTTGCTTCCCTTCCCATCGGACAAGTTTGGCTTTCCCGCCAATTTCTACCCATTTTTTGCTGAGGATAATTGGCTTGGCCCAATTGCTGCTCTTAAAATTAACACCACAACTAAAGGAGTTCTTCTCTGTGAGGCCGTCGCTCAGAATATCAAGCTGTCTGATACCTACCGACTCAACCGAGGTGCAACTGGAAGAGTTCGCATCGAGCTTGACTTGTAAAACCGCTTTGAATTATTGTAACGTTATTCACTGATTCCTTGCTAACAGGCTGCTGGTATAGTGATCACAAGTATTTTACAATTTGCACGTTTCGTGCTGCAGGGACTGGTGATTTTGTGACATATTTTAAGGCTTCTCTTGTTTGTCTGTTTGTTGCTCAACAAATTAGAAGGGAAAAGATCAGGGAAGAAATCAAACTCACAAGATTGTGTGCTTTTTTGATGGATCTTCGTAATACAAGTAGTACATAAGAAATCTCAAGAAATAGGTTGAAAAGTTTCTTATGTTTGAAAACAATACATTTTGAGACTTTTTGCTATATTGAAGATTGTTCTGTTGCAAATTTCTTCAAACTGTACTTGCACTTTAAGCTTGCTTTTTTTTACACTATTACACTTTATTTGAGGGAGCTTTTTTGATTGGACTAACAAAACTAATATCAACTGTATGATTTAGTATTAGCAATATTTAGGTTGCACACCATCATAACATAATTGTGGGTATACACTCTGTCGTGTTAATATTAAAGGAGTTCTGTCTTCATACCTCAGAAAACAGACAGATGTTTTGTGCATTCACACTTCCCACGTAAAGTGTGGCGTGAAATTGCTTGCAGCTTTCAGAACATTTCAATCGTGATTGTCCAAAAGGCAATAGAGACCTTTATTAGATTCCAAGACGAGTACGACTACAAGTACGAGATTTTCTCCATTCTTAGTAGTGCTCGCGCATTTTGCAATCGGGAGAGGGCTCAGCCTCCTTCAATGACGATAACAGTGTAACTTTCCTGGTGCAAAAAAGTACAATAAAGAATTCCAGGGTGTCTTTTTTTTTTACAATACGCGAAAAAACTTTAAATCAAATCTCGTACTCGTATTCTCGTCGTCGAATCTAAAACTCTCTAATAGTCCACTTAATGATCAGGCGCCAATTGTCAAAAGGTGGATACTGCAATTGATTTTCCTACTTCTCCACTGGATAGCAATTTATCCAGTGAGTGAGTAGTGTTATCCATCTTTTGAAAAACAGGGGCCAATACGTTTTAATTACAGGCATTTGCTAGTCAGAAGCTTGGTGATGATTTTGGCAGTCTTGTTATTTTTTATGTTTGACTTTCAATCGAAAGGTCAGTTGTTCAAATATAGTGAAGACAATGTTGTCATGAAATTCTCTGGTCAATACGGTGCATTTATTATAGTGTGCATTGTATTTATCTTTCTTTGTGAATCATAAACGTTTTTCTTTTTGACTTTTTCAAAGTAGATATTTCGTGCTCAAGGTTTTACATAATTATCTAAATTTAGGATTTCACGTTGGGTCATCCCCATATTTAGCATCTTTTATAACTCTTGATATTCTATTGATGATTTTTGTAACGGTACTTTAATAGTTATTTATAATTACCCTCTAAGTATTGCAAGCTGTAAGGAAACTAAGCCTTTGCATCACAGCTATTGCTAAATAGATTCTTGCTTGTCCGTAGTCTGGGCACAAGGAGTAACTGTTTGCCTTTACATGTAGTGCAAGACAACGCAACATGTTTTATGCCCTTTGCAATATTTCTCCTCTTTTAACAACACTAGCACTAACTGAAAATCAATTATTATTGCCCTTAGATTTCTCTGGGGTAAGTGGGGTGATAAGTCTCTAAGTCGCTTGTATTTTTTAACTACCGCTTAAAGCCACATATTTGTATGGCAACTTACCGTCAAACTCAGAAAACCGTGAACACCTGAAAATTTTTAGGAAAGTTGATTGTGTAGTGACCAACACAGTAAAGTTCAGGACATGCCAGCAAACCTCAAAACCACAAACCAATTACCGTTGCTTTTTCGGCTTAGTTGTCTCCCTTTAATTGGCTTTTTCCGTGAAAAACAATAGTATTCCATAAATATTTCTGGTGTTCACGGTTTTGTGAGTTTCACAGTAATTTTTAAACCATGACTATGAGCTCGGAGTCAGTAAGCGTTCAAAACAACTCGAGACGAATGTTTATACATACTTTTCTCTTCCACTTGTTCTTTCCAGTAATACCCAAGGACAAGTTTTAGATCCCTTTCTGTCAAGGGCTAAACTTTGTCATTCTCATATTTAGGATTAGTCTGTAGAGTCGGAAAATATTATCGAAACTGATTGAAAATTGGAAAGTATTTTTCGAAATTCACAACCTGGTGATCTTGGTTCTTTATTTAAGGTGGTTATCCAAGAGACAATTCGTTGATTATTGAGGTAGGACGGAAACCGTGGAAATAAGCGAGTAATTTGTTCCGTGTGTCCACTAAGGTAGTTGAGAATGTCTTGAAAAGGTTGTTCTTTTTGTTCCTTGGACAAAAAGTTCAACTCTAGTTGTTACTCGCTCAACAGTCCCCCCCCCCCCCCCCCCCCCTCTTTTTTTTGTCCCCCCCCCACCTTTATTTTCGTTATTCTATAAAAAATGTTTTTTTTTCTGTAGTCTTACATTCTTTTTTTTGTGTGTTTTTTATCTTTGTGTGAGTTTATTTTACAACTTATATAAATTTATATGTCTTTAAGGCAGGGTGTGAACATGGGAGATATACGGATAGTTTTTTTTGTTGTCAGCGTAGAGGTGTTGATGATCTTTTAAAAAGGTTTTTTTTTTTTTTCCCGGGACAAAAATCTCATCTTTTATTTTTTCGCGCCTTAACTCCCCCCCCCCCCCCCCTTGCCTTTTCTTTGCCCGCCAACCTTAATTGTGACAGGTCTCTTAAACTAAAGTCGTTTTACTGGATGTAATCATTTGTTGTTGTATGTGTGTTATCATGGCCTTGATGGCATATTATGAATGATCTCATTAAACTTGGTTTTCAACTTAGTTAAAGCAAGTTCTTTCCTTTCCGTCGTTAAATTTCTGTCTAACCCTTAGCTACTCCCAAGTCGAGAGCTTGCTCACAGGCTGTTTTTCCCGGCAGGCCCTTATTTTACAAAACCTGCCAGGTTCGCAATGGACTTACACCAACGAAAGGAAAGGTACAAATAAGGTAGTATTAATTATTATAGAGGAAAAGATTTGCAAGGGACAAGAGGAATGAAGTGAGCGAACGAAAAATAACCTTATTCCACTTTTCAGGTGAAGATGGCTTTAGGTTTTTCAGTTCCAGGGATCTTAGGAAAAATAACTTTTTCATCTATGAATTACCGAGCCTCTAACCGCTGTTTTACGCCTTTCACCCCTAACTCCAAAATTCAACGGAAATTTCAAATTCCACGTGAAAAGATTACTCCGGATGATGATGGTTGTGATGTTTTTTATGGTGGTAGCTTTAGAGTTTGTCGTGGAGATGATGATCTTGTAGCCTGAATTTCATCCGATTACTTCGAGTCGTTATTACTCCTTCAGTTGCTGAGAGGAGAAAACGACTCGAGGCAATCGGATGAAATTCAGGCTAATGATCTTAGGAATGGCGATTAAAATGTTCACCGTGATGGAGATGATGTATCGATAGCGATGATGGTATTGGTGACGGCTATGGAGACAGCGTTGGTGATAGCAAAGAACCTTGTTATGGCGATGGAGAGGGCGGTAATGGAGTTGGTGATGGTAATGGCGAGGCGATTATAATGATAGCAGGAGAGACAGATTCTGATTGCTATTGTGGTGATAAAGAGAACGGTGATGACAACGATGGTAAGAGCGATGATGGTGATGACAGTAGAGATAGACATGACGGTAACAGAGTGGGCGATGATGGCGATGTGCTGGAGAGGGCGATAATGGAAATGGTGATGGAGCTTGTGGCGGATGTGAAGGAAAGGACGATGATGCAGATACTGATGGAAATGATGGTGAAGGCAGTGAAGACAAAGATTGCGACGAATGACGGTGACTGTGATGACGGTGGTGGCGGCGATGTTGATGGAGAGGGTGATGATGATGGAGATGGTGGTGAGGGCGATGATGGTGACGGAAAAGGCGGTGGGTGATGGCAGTTTATAGTGGCGATGGTCGTGGAAAGGACAATGTTGTGATGGTGATGGAGCTTGTCGCAGAGGTCGTGGAGATGGGCTTTGATGCAGATAGTGATGGTAAGGGCAATGCCAGTGTAGGTAAAGATGGCTATGACGGTAACGGTGATAGTGGTTGTGGTGGCGAAGGTGATGGAGAGTGCGATGATGGAGATGGTGATGGCGGAGCTAATGGAAAGACCAGATAACTGGTGATGGCAATGGAGATAGTGAAGGCAATGGCGGTGATTAGAGAGGTCGGTGGTGGCAATAGAGATGGTGATGTAGAGGCAGGCAATTGTGGTAAAGGTGATGCTGGAAATGGCGATGTTGACTTGAGAGATGGTGATGAAAAGGACGATGGTGACCTTAATGAAAATAGAAAAGGAGGTGACAAGAATGGTAGTGATGGAGAGGTCAATGATGGTATTCAAGATGGTGATGAAGTGGCCGGCGATTGCAGTGAATGCGATGATGATGAATGAGATGGTGATGGAAACAACGATGATGATTGCAATAGAGATGGATATGGCCATGACGAGAATGGCAGCGGAGATGGTGATGGCCATAACGATTTTGATGGCAATGGAGATGGTGATGGTGAAGGACGTGAAGGTGATTATGAAGATGGTGATGATGGCAATCGAGTTGACGATGGGTGTAGTGAAGGTGACAGCGATGGAGCCGAAACCAGTTGTGGAATTGCACACATTTTAGGCATCCTACTGATGAACAGTTGCGACTTTTAGAGTCGAGCAACAACAATTTACCGTCTGTCCAATTTGAATTTTGGCGCACTTAGCAATAATGGAAAAGATGATGGCGATGGAAATGGAGATGGTGATAGCACTGGAAGTTGTAAAGAGAACCCCACTAGCAATCAGAACTGTCCAATCAAATCGCGGTTTTTTCCTTAGTATACGTGCAAGGCCCTGATGGGGTTTTAACGAAAACTCTTGAAATAAGCCTAATTCGTTTTCAAAATCGGTCGGGGTAGTCTGAGATGTTATCCGTTTCTTCGCCCTATCCTCCAACGG